TACAGCGAACAGAAAGGTCAGAACCCAGATATTCTCCCCAGCCCCTGCTACAGGATAGGCCAAAGAATGTGGGCTTTGGTGACCAGACAAGAGAGGGTTAAACGTGGGTCTGTACCTGCTGGCCAGTTGTGTTTATTAACATCACTAAGATGTTTTCCAGATTTACACTCCTACCTAAAGGTGGTTGTGAGGTTTAGTATGACCAAGCTTCCACTCAGTGCTCTTCACGTGAGGTTGGATGAATGAATGAATTGAATGAATGAATGCCAGCTACAAGAATCATTGTTTTTTGCAGTCTTTGCCTTTTCCTCATCTTTCTCTGGTTTTAATCCCTCGCTCAAAAATCTCCTCCATTTTCTCTCTTCTTTATGTTCCCCAGGCACCTGGGAGTCTCATCCAGAGACCACGGAGCTGGTGGTTTTACAGGGCAGGGTGGGGCCAGCTGGTGACGAGGAAGAGGAGGAGGAGGAAGAGCTGAGCAGCTCCTGTGAGGAGGAAGGAGAGGAGGACCGAGATGCTGATGAGGAGGGAGAAGGGGATGAAGACACCCCAACCTCAGCTCCAGGGTCCTGCCTGGCTGCCCGAAACCCTTATGCCCTGCTGGGTGAGGATGAGTGCTGAGTCCCCATCTAGAGCCATCTTTCCTCCCAATATCTTTGCTTTTGGACTGATCTGGAGGCATCTCCCGTCTGCCACCCCGATTGTGAATAAAGATTGTCTGCTTTGTAGCCCCTTCCCAAGGTGACGTGAGCTTGACAGCGGCTGTTTTGGGCTGACAGCTATGGGAGGTTTCTCTCCTCTTTTCCCTTTTTTTCTCGTGCCTTCTCTTTTCAAGGCAAGTTCTTAACTCACTGAGTTTTTAGCCACTCTCTGTTGCGCACCCCATCCATGAGGACAGGAGGCCTCAATCCAAACAAACCTCCTGTGTAGTTTGTGTCCTCCACTCTGATTTGAGTAGTAGCCCTTTGTGCCCCCTGCTGGCACACCTGGGATATACCAGGATCTTCTGGAAGGAGTTCAGAGCTGAGGTCCAAATGAAGTTTTTTGGTTTTATGGGGGGGGGGTCGGTTGTGGGGCTTGAACTCTGGGCTTGGGCGCTGTCCCTGTGCTCTTCAGCTCAAGGCGAGCACTCTACTGCTTAAGCCACAGCACCACTTCCCGTTTTTAAGTGGTTTAATGGAGATAAGAATCTCCAGGACTTTCCTGTCCAGGCTGGCTTTGAATCGAGATCCTCAGATCTCAGCCTCCTGAATAGCTAGGATTACAGGCGTGAGCCACCAGCACCTGGCTCAAATGAAGTTTCTGTAGGAAATTTTCAAGTTCAATGAATATTCATTGAGAGTCTTACTTTGTGCCTAGAAGGTGATAAACACTGAATGTGTAAAGATGCACAAGCAAGGCTTGGCCAAAGCTTATAGTCAAGACCCCATAGGGCACCCAAG